TGGTCATAGCTGCCCCTAGCAATTCCCCTGGTGGTCACAGCTGCCCCGAGCAATACTCCTGATGGTCACAGCTGCCCCTAGCAATTCCCCTGGTGGTCACAGCTGCCCCGAGCCATCCCCTGACCCTCTCCCTCTTCCAGGCCTAGTCCCTCGGCTTACGTGGCTCAGCGGCATCTATTGGCTCTGCACACTGAGGCAGTGCACGTCATCTTTCCCCTTGGTGTCGTAGCCGGGCAAGGGCTGTCCGTACTTGTCCACACACCAGCAGAAGCCCCGCTTTCTGCCTTTGGATGGGCGGCACTGAGGGAGGAAGGGACAAGACCAGGGCATGAATATCACGTGTATCGTCTAGTTTTATATCAATGTGACGCAAGCAAAAGTCATTCGGGAAGAGGAAACCTCAGCTGAGAAAATGTCCCCACCAGATTGACAGGTAGATGAACCTATGGTGTGTTTCTTGATCGAGGATCTATGTGGGAGGACCTAGCTCTGTGGACAGGACCCCATTGGCAGGTAACCCTGGGTGCTAAAAGAGGACAGACTGTGCAACCCACGGGGAGCCAGCCAGCCAGCAACACTCCTCCTGCCGCGACTTTCCTCAGGGATGAACCGTGATCTGATACAGAAACCCTAACCCAGACACTGGGGTGTAAGCTGGTAACCAGGGTCCGTAGTGGTTACCTAATGCTGTTCAACTGGGCTGAGGGAAAATTATGACGGTCCTGCCTCCTAAAGGGTCACCCATGGGTACATCCATGCACACTTGTGCGGAGAGAATGCTGAGCTTTCTTTGCCTTGTGGCCACCAGGCTGGATCTCAGACCTCAGGGCCAGCCTTGTCTCCTCTCTCCTTAGCGGAAGTGTGCTGAGCTAGTCAGCGGCTGGTGCGGAGGCTCAGGCTCCCCGGTGAAGACTACAGTATAAACAATGGAATGCGGACAGGCTGTGGTGAGCATTGTTTGCTTCTGTTTCCTAGACTCATGTGAACTACCCAATTAGAAAGCCACCTAAAATATCGTCACTGGGTGATGTATACATGTCTCAGAAGAGGGGACAAAAAGTTGGCAGAGCGCCCCACCCGTTGAGCTTCCTGGAGATTAGGTGAGACCAATTCCTATAGAGCCCCTGGAGAAAGGAGTGGAAAAACCATCCTGGGGACCCCACTCACCTGCTTCTTCTTATAAAACCCCTTCTTGTCACAGTTTGGGATGTGGACACCTCTGGGACTCAACACATTGAGGAACTTCAGATGATTCAGTGTGTCTTCCATTTCTCTGCGGCAGGGACCCTGAGGACACAGTTATTGTTTTGACAATCTTCCAATGGTTATAGGACCATCCCAGGAGGAACCTGTGACATGCCTCTCCAGGACATTCTGCTTGGGTCAGCGAGAAGGTCCCAGGAGGATGCTCACCATCACTCCTTGTCTCTTCTGCTTTCTCAAGAGGAAGACATAGACTCTGGAATGTGATCTAAGGCTAGGCCAGTAGACTTCAGAAAGTCCACCGAATAAAATACAGCCTCTCGTGGGAAGTCTGTTTCTTTATCTGCAGGGTCCACCACACACTTAGTACAGTTCAGCTTGAACTTCCCAAGAGTTTCTGACATAGGAGGTGGGTCTTCACATAGGAAGGGAGAAGCTGCCCACGTATCAGCTAGGGCCCCTGGGATTTACTGTATGAAGACTGTATTGGGATGCCCTATCCCCCAAAGAAAGAGGAAAAGTTCTCACGTATTCTGTCTCCCGCTTAGACTCAGAGGAGAAGTTCTGGGTGTCTGTGCTCTGTGACTCATAGTCAACTTTGTAACGCTGGCTGTCCCTGGCATGGCCTTTTTTGATGACATCTATCTTTGCATGGAGAGGATGGAACTTGGAATCGGTCACTCGGTGTGTGCTGGGGACAGCCTGGCTTTCCACACTCCCAGCACCGTGGTCCTCCTCAGACTCACTGGCATTTCCTGAAAAAGGACATGGGGATAAGGAAATGGTCATGATTGATATCGGAATAATAATCTCTGCAGATTATTTAGGTCACACCTAAAAGGCAACACCACTCAACAATTTTTAAGAAGTTAAGAAAAAGGTAATCGGATAAAGCATCGTAGAGTACAGCCTGCTGGACCCTGTCTGCTCTACTTCAGGAAGCCATCTGTTTGAAAGTTACTCTGTCAAGTGTTTTTGGTATACAGTTACAAGTGAAGGTCCTTCAGCAGCTGAGAATGCAGTCAGTTCTCCCTTCTACCGGCAGGGGGCAGTTGTGCACCATCGAATGCTGTTGGGGAGCGGATCTGAAAACTTACAAGAGATTCCAAATCTCTTAGTCCTGGGCACAGCTGTTGGGGGTGGGATTGAGTGGAAAAAAAAAAAAAACTCCACCCAGTTGGCAGCATCACACTGGCCTGGGGATTCTTGCATTCACTCGGGTCTCATGTGAAGTAGTTCACTGCAGGGACTATGTGGGCGTGTCAGAGACGCCTACTTACTAGGAGCCCGTACATCTTTCCATTTCAGGGTCCACAAAGACTTTGTGTATTGGGTGGGAGGGGCACCTTCTTGGGGGAACCTCTCCAGTGAGCACACAGAATAGCACCAACATACTGCCCATAGCTTAGACGCTAGGTGCCAAGATGCATTCATTTTACCTTGGAGATGGGGAGCGGAGAGGAAAAGAAAGCTCCTTTAGGCAGGGGCCTCTTTCATAATCCAAGGTGCAAAAGAGAGGGCCCCAGCTGATGAGATGCTGGAAGGTTAATAGATTGAGATCTTATGTATGTGACTACATTTGTGGCTATATGGAAACCAATGCCAGATGATCAGCCCCCAGTGCCCAGCTCTGCACTCCAAAGCTTCAAGTTCAATGTTCAGGTCATGGCCACAGAATTCCTTTGCTCCCATGAAAGGGACATTAATAGCCTCCCTAGCAGGAAGGCCCAGTGGGCTATGCATCTGGTTCTGAATTTATTCTGTCTGGATGCAAGGTGCAGGCCTCCAGCTGGCCTTTTTTTTTTTTTTTATCTCTCAGGAAATGCCAGGCTGAGGCACCCGGCCCATGGGGACGACATGGGTCTCTGGTTCCAGGCCAAGAGAAGCAAATGCTTCACTCCCTGGAACTACCAGAGGGCTGCAGAATCTGATGTCTTTGAGAGCAATTGACTTCCAGGGACGCCCTCTTGCCCAGGACCCTCAATTTCTCACCTACTGAATAGTCCAGCTGCAAACCCCTCAATGATGTCTGTGCTTTCTTAAGCACAAATTCCCAGGGTCTAGACTAGCACCTGGCAAAGGAGGTCCATAATTAAATTGATGGACTTGGTTTCAATTTGCCTTAATCTTAGTGATTTTGTCTTTTGGAAGTACAGGGATAGAGGGAATGCTAATATGTAAATAAAAATATTTGCATTTGTCTTCTGAGAAGCTGAAGGAATTTCTTAAACTTCCTTTGTTTGCTATCCTTACACTACTTATCAGGGGAGAATATGGCTCAACTTAAAAATGTAAGTGTGAATTGTGTTATAGAAGTATCATTCCCCCTTCCCTCCACCCAATGAATATTAGAAGTCACTGAACTCTTTTAGAACTAAAGCTCACATCAGTTTATTCTATAGAGCTTCAATGGTCATTACTAATAATGGCCATTAAAGCCTAACTCAAAATGGCATGTTGGTATTTCTTAGGATCACTTCTGGATATCACAGAATACACTATAAGTCAAAGACACACAAGGCAAACAGCCTAATTTTGCTTTTGACTGAGTCAGCGAAACAACGAGAATCTTGCTTTGCCAGGAATCCGGTGCTTCTCTGGGATGTCTAAACCAGGACCTGCCTGTACCCAGGAGTGTAGCGCTACAGCCACAGAAATCATAAGGGACCGTCAGCCCAGCGCACTCTGGTCCCAGGGTCTTGCTCTGCACCTTCTGCCTGCCTGACGTGGGGAAACTGGAGAATTCTAGCCTTCATCTGTGCAGGGCAAGAACTTGACTCACATAACTAAGCAGAAGACTGGCTAAGAATGCTGGATATTTCGAACAACAGCTGCCAAATCCATTTAAATCTTTTCCTTTTTTTTTTTTGTCTTCCTAAGGGAACAATGCGATGCCCTTAGAATGGCCCCCTGCTTGATAGGATCAGCCCCAGGATGGGTAACTGCCAAGGGTTTGCGATTTTCCTCTTAGGAGCTGTTTCCGCTGCACCCCACTCCTTTTTGCATAGGATTAGGAAGGAGGAACATTCCTGCGTAGCATTTCTAGTCTGCTTCAGCAGGGAAACCGCCTGGATCTGCACGGCCTGCACCTGGGACGTGATTTCCCGGCCCCCAGGCGCCGCAGGGCGTGGGATGGTGACTACTGGGGCAAACCGGGCTCAAACCCAATTGCAGCTCCCGGTTCTTACTTTTTGAACTTTAGGTTACACAGCCTCAAAGACATCAGTACTCTAATTCCATCTCGTTAGTTTTTGGATACACTGGGACACAATACTACTTTGCCAATCAGCCTGTGCAAATGTTAGTATTTTTCAAGACAGGTGCCTGCCAGCAAACCTTCCTGGTCCTGATCCGATTCCGGAATCCCATGCTCAAGCTTCCCTGGGACAGACATGCGCCTTCCCAATTGTGGAAAATGGAAACCTAGGTCCACAACTCGGCTACACAGCCCAAACCCTGGCATCCACGCTCAGCATGACTCTCCAATGACCGGGATCCGTCCACTGGCAGTCTACTCGTCCTGCGTGGAAATCTACCCATTTTCACGGAAAGCGTTGCAACTTACAAGAAGGCTGCACTTTGAGAACCAGGCAAGTGGATCGATGGCTGCGGGATTCCCTTCGCCTCCCTGTGCCCGTCTAGCCACTAACACCTGGATAAGCCTCTGAGGACACAGGCTCCCTGCCACCCCCGCCGGGTCCCAGGGAGCGCGCTCGGCGCACGTGGTGCGAGCAGCTTACCTGGAGCGGGTTGGGAGGGCAGGTAGGCGCTCAGGCTGCCGGCGGCGCTGGCGTTGGCGCAGAACCCGCGGCCGTTGAGCAGCGCCTTCAGCGGGTACTGCTCCGCGGGCCGCGGCTGGC